TGATTTTTTTTCGTAGTAACCTGAAGCTTCAAGGGTTAAGTGTTTGTAATTATCCCTTTCTATGTTAATTTTCCATATAAAAAAAGCACTATGGGTCATCGATTTTGAAGAATAATTTTCCTTCTCTCTGTTAATGTCTCCATGTTTCAATAGTTTGTCATGGCAATATCAAACCCGTTAAATGGCAAGCGTAAAGGGGCTACAGTTGGCAATCCACTTCCTGGTGTGGAGGTTAGTAATTCGAATATGTGTAATCCAAAGATGAAAGCTTTTAGCATAATCCAAACAAGCATGATCCTTTTAATCAAATGTTTTAATTTTCTTACAATCACTGACATCTTTTAACTGTTAATGCTTTGTATGTAATAAACCACTTATCCGCATTCTTTTATCCTTGAAAGGCCAAGATAATTGCGGAAGATGGTAACGCGGAGGTTGGTGAACTTTGCATCAGAAGTCCTTCATTGTTCAAGGAATACTGGAAGCTTCCCGAGGTACTTTATATTCTCGTACAAGCTTCTTCTACTTTTTTAGGAAGATTTTGAAGGAAAAAGAAAAAAAGAAAAAAAGAAAGAGAGGCCCGGTTTCTCATTCTGAGTTATTGATGACCTATTTTTAGGTGACTAAGGGGTCATTTATCGATGGTGGGTTCTTCAAGACTGGAGATGCCGCTCGGGTAGATGAAGATGGATACTATGTCATATTGGGACGTAAGCTTTTTACGTATTTCACTTTTTACGTATTTCAATAAATGTTGCCCAAAATATTTATTTCCTAATGATATGACATGATTCAGGTACTAATGCTGATATTATGAAGGTTGGGGGATATAAATTATCTGCCCTGGAAATCGAAGCAGTTCTTTTAGAGGTATAGTTCACATCTCCCCTTCTATGAAATTCCCCAAGTTCTATGTTACTTTTAGTGCTAATTACGAAGAGCCCCCTGAAGTTTGATCTCTTTACACAAACTTCCAGCTATCCTTGGAAAATTACATATACCCCCGGTCCCCCACAATGTAAGATATGTAATTTAGCTAGCGAATGCTTTCCCTTCTTGAAGGTGCAACTTATAGAAGACAAAACAAGTGTCTTATATTATATAAATGCGTAGAGAATTATTTTGAACAATATGTTATTTTTTAATTAGGCTAAACCTTTGGAATATTTTTTATTTAAAAAAAAAAATAATTTTGTCATGTATTAATGCTCGAAGAAATAGTTGATCACGACCAATCAAACTTTAAATTTTTGCAGCATCCAACAATTTCCGAGTGTTGCGTGTTGGGTCTGCCCGACAAAGATCTTGGTGAAGTTGTGTGTGCAATAGTTGTGCCTGATTCGGAGATTAAGAGAAAACGAGAAAAGGATTTGAAGCCCATTCTAACCCTGGAAGAACTTTCAGGTTGGGCCAAAGAGAAGCTTGCCCCATATAAGGTATACAATCACATTCAATTCAACTTCTTCGAAATGGGCCCTTAGGAATAGCCCAGCAGAATCTGAAGGGTAATATATATTTTTTTTCACTTGGATTAATATTATCTTTTATCACGATAAAAATCGTGCTTTTGTTTTTTGTTTTTTTTTTAGATACCAACCCGTCTGTTAATATGGGAGTCGTTGCCTCGCAATGCCATGGGAAAGGTAACATCTTGAAAAATCTGTAACTTGTGTCATTTTTTTCAAGAATCCGTGTAAGTCTGGTCGAATTTTCTATCTAAATTGGGTTTTCTTTCACTTATCTTTTCAATTTGCTCAAATCAGGTGAACAAGAAGGAGCTGAAGAAAAAGCTGGCTGATCAAGTGTAAGAACTAAGAAGCCTGAGATTCAGATTTATGTATATTATTGTCAAATTGAGTTTTTTTTGCTATTTACCTAAATGTGATTTTGTAATGTTGGCATTTTTGGGTGATATCGGTTTTAGAACAAATATTTACTATTTAGGTCATGGAAATTAAACTAATAATTGAATGCTACGGGCAGACACAGTTCTGTTTGAGTCAAGTCAATAAATCTAAATGAATGGAGTTGTAGACTTCAGTAAACAGGGCCTTCCCTTTTCTTTCTTTTTCTGCTGTCCCTTTCTCCTTTTCTTTATCCTTTTCAATATTATTGCATCTTCAATGAAATTAAGAGAGGTGAGAGAAAAATAAAAAGAATATAGTGATGAAAAAATATATTGTAATTAATGATCTTAGTCATCTACCATGGAAGAATGATTTTAAGTGTTTGGATGGGAAACAAACTTAGTCCGGGATTCGGTTCTACTAATTATTTTTATGGAGTTTTAGTTGCAGTTTCAGTCTAGAAGAGTTCTTCACTGAAACTTTTTTTTGTTCATTTTGTCACTAGTGTTGTTTTACTGTTCTCTATAACTTTTTTTCGAGCAGAAAATTGGGTTAGCTATAATGTTTTGTGCTTCCTCAATGCTTATAGCCAATTCATCATCAACAACAACATAGCCTTTTAGTCCCAAGCAAGTTATAGCCAATTCATCATTTGTTGTAATTTTTTTTTTTTGTTGTTTGCCACTATATGAGTGATCCTTCTTTTTTGGGGAAGTTTCCAGGTTTGTTTCAAGATAGCCTGAAGCAGTACTTATTGATGCACTCTAATTTTTCTGAGTTACATAAATGTACTATCTTTCCCAAAAATAAAATATCTATCAACTTCCTTAATGGACCTACAAAAAACTTGTAATTTGGTTTATAGATCTCAAAGGACAAGTTTTAATGATCAACACAACAAGAAAATCAAGAATCTTTATATGTAAAATCAAGAATCTTTATTAACCTACATACAACAACCAAAACCACTTCAAAAATACAAAAATCACCCATGATCTTTGCAACTTCTCAACATGGTGTTCCCACCACACCCAATTTCTCCTCTTCCCCATCACAAGGACCATAAGCCCAACTACACACCACAAAATACACCAAGTTCACAAAAGTCATTGCCCCCAAAAGCCAATACTAATACTCATAATGCCCTACATTAATATTACCCGATACCCAACTCGTTTTTCCCGTTTCGCCTCTTGTCGCCTCATCCACCGCGCTCACCACCACGGTCGCCAGCATTCCCGCCACCGCCATCCTGAGCCCGAACATCGACGAGGCCACGCTTGGCATGCTTCTCGGGAACTCCGAATAGTAAAACTCAGTCTGTTCGATCGCGTTGAACGCCTCGGATAACCCTAAAAGGCAGTTCTGCGGAACAAGCCACATAGCCGACATTTTCACGACGCCATGCGGGTCGGGACCCAACCCTTGCCTGACCGCTCGTTTTCTTCGCACGTGCTCGACTACACCCGAGACCACCATCGCCACGTAGGATAGAAAAGTCCCTATCCCCATCCTTAGTTTGACTCCGAGTTTGACTTTCTTGCCGGCTAGCTTCGAGGCAAGAGGTAGGATCGCGCGGTCGTACAAAATGATCCATAGGGTTAGGGTTACGATGTTGAACATGCCGAACGAGCCAGCCGGGATTTCGAAGCCTCGAGTGATGTGGCGGTCCATCGAGCTGGCTTGGATCAACGGGAATGACGTCTGGCTAAGGTTTATGGCGGGAATTATTCCGGTCGACCAAATCGGGATGACTTTGATCAGTGCTTTTAGTTCCTCGACTTGGTCGACCGTGCAAAGGCTCCACGAATTTGAGATACTTATTAGGTCTTGTGGGTCCTTGATGATGCATGCCTTGTTTAGAAACCTAGAGAAACAAAGAATTTAGAATTGGATAGTACAAAACAAGAATCTCAAGGGAACTTTTGTTACCATTATTAACCTTAATTTGTCACTAGGAGTCGTATTACCCGACCCATTCTCCCGATAATACACGTTTGACTCGCCCGGTGGAAACTCGAGCCCTCTATTCCTCCAAGCCGCCACAACCACTTACACGAAGCCCGTAAATAGGCTCTTATTCGGGCCCACCTTGACGTACAATCTCGAAGCAAGAAAAAAGAGGAGGGCCGAGAAGAACATTAAGGCCACGGGTAATCCGAACCCGACTCGCCACCCCATGTGGTCTTGCACATACACGATACCCTTTAGAGCTATGAAGACCGAAACAGCTGCCAAGGCATAGTACCACCCGAAGAAGCTCTCCAAGACTCGTTCTTTTTCGGGATTTTTTTTTTTGGGGTTTAGGGCCCGTTTGCAGATTTGGGCCGGCCCGCATTTTGGTGGCCTTGTGGCTGGGAACATGGCGGTTAGCCATAGGTTGATTGTCCCCTGTTAGATACAATGAAACAGATAACAATAAAGAAAAAGATCTCAAAATTACCAAATCATTTTAACAATTTCACATCTCATAACTCAGTCATGTCAGCACAATGTTATGACAAAAAGAAGGGAGAAAAGAGAAAGCGAACGAGCGTGTGCTTACAAGAAGACAGACGATTGAACCAAAGCCGATGGTAAGAAAACGGCCGAGAAACGAGTCAGCTACAAAGGCACCAACGAGTGGCATGAAATTTGTAGCTGCTGACCAGTAAAACATCAAATTTGTGGCTTTTGTAAATCCTATTTTGTACTCGTTCATAAGATAAAACATCATGTTTGGCTGCAAACCATAGCTGGCCGCCTTCTCAAATGCCTCATTTGCTGTACAAAA